AGTTTCTCTACTGAGCACAGGCTCTCTGAATCCCTCCAGGGGAGAAAGCACTGGTTAGTGGTTATGTGCATAACCAAATGGCTGAGTCAGGCTCTAGCTCAGTCCCTGACCAGTTGTGTGGATGGAAGCAAAGCGGCTTACCCCTCGGTGCCTCGGTTTGCTTATCTAGAAAATGGGTGTCCCGCCTCATAAGGTTGTTGGAGAAAGTACATGAGTTACTAAATGCTTGGAACATTACTAGTTATGGCCTCTTTCTCTGAGTCTGCCCTCCACGGTGTCCTCTGGCCACAGGGCTTGTAACTAACTGCACTAACTGTCCTTACTCACACTGGGCCGTGCCTGCTCTGTCCGTGGGGCCCCGGTGGCTGTGTCCCCCAATGAGTCTGAGGGGGCAGACAGCAGATCTGGGCCAACAAAGGAGGCACCAAGCAACCCCACTCCTCCCCCTTCTTCCAGAGACACCCTGCTCTCTCACCTTAGGAGTGTCTGTCCTGGGGGAATTTCAACCAGGGTGGGAGAACTGGTCAGGCCACTGAGGCCAAATAGTTTCAGAGAGGTGCGGCTTTTGAGGCCCCTTCAAAGAGATAACATGGGTGTCTGTCATGCCTTTCAAGGGTATGAAAAGCCATGCCCCTGAGGGCTGCTGGCTTTGCCCACTGCACCCAACACATGAGTTTTCTATCTCAAGGGCAAAGGAAGGTCAGGGAAGTGTGGGAGGGAGGGGATCCCAAACCTGCAGAAGGGATCCTGCCCCAGGGGCAGAGGCCTGCATAGTCTGGCCTGAGCCTGGAAGAGACCAAGGAGGCAATTTATGGGGGTTGTGCAGGGTCGAAAATAGCTCTCTGGGCTCCAGGGTGTAGATAGGTGGGAAGGGGCTGGGGAAAACGAGCCGTACAACCAGCGGGAGGCTGAAGGACCAGGTGGCGCTCTTCACCCAATCCAGCAGCTCTTGGGGCGACACACTGGACAACAGCCCCACCTGGCGGACAGACAGGGACCACCAAGGGCCCGAGAGTGCGTGCGGCGGAGCGAAGGGATGACACGGAAGTGGGAAGCAGGTGAATAATCACACAGGAGGTTTAGAGGTGGAAGAGGCTTCGGGGTCTCCTAGGTGGCAGAAGCCCATCCTAAGCGTGTGCTCTAGACTCCCCTAGGCGAGGAACTGACTTCTTCAGATGGGGACTAGGCAATTATTTGTTAGAAAGTTCTTATGCTTTTTAGAAATTTGCCTCCACCAGTGCCCCTTCCCCCACCAGGGGGCTTCCAAAGGAACACAGCTATAATACCCTTCCTAAATCTTCCTCCCATTTGGTTCAGCCTTCCCGAGTTTGACCTCAACCTTTCACCCATTGCATCTTCTTTTTTCAGTCGTTTTTTTTTTTTAACTATACTAACTTCTAAGGAATCACTTCCAATTCTGTACCCAAGCCATTCCCCCACCCAACTAGCAGCATTATTTTTAATACACCTTTGGATTTCAACCTCTCTACTGTTCAGGGGAAACTGATGCTCTGTTTGGCAGTTAATTTAGACATCAAGAGCACAGGCCTTGAAATCAGGTAGACCAGTGTTCAAAACTGAGCTCTACTATTTTCTAGCTGTGTGACCTCAGGCAAGTCTCTTGGCCTTTCTGAGCCTGTTTCCTTACCAGTATTGGGGGTAGAGGTATTTACTACCTGAAGCTGTGGTAATTATTAAATGAGATAAAGGCAGGAAAATATTTAGGATAGCTCCTGGCAACATTATTCAGCTCCTAACTGGTCATTATAACCACAGTCCTCTGAGGAATGTAGGGCTGTAGGAAGTGCTTTGAGACTAGCAAGGTGAAAGGGCAGAGGGGAGAAAAGGTGTCTTCCTGGAGTTAGTCAGCCTTTCCCAGCCAGCATGAACCCCAGGTGAAAGCCCAAAAAAAGGGTACCTTGTTCCAATCCCATTTCCAGGGGTGTCTCTGGCCACACCCTCCTTTTGTAATGAGGCAGGCCTCAACAGCTCTTTAAAACTCAGAGGGTTTAAAATTTAAATGTCTTTGAGGGCAAGAGAAACACACCAAAATAAACACATCTATTGGCTCAGCAATGAAAGGGAAACTTGGCAGGGGCCCCAGAACTTCCCCCACCCCAACCCTCCCTAAACTTCCTCTTGTGGTTTCTCAAGAGTACAACCTGTTCTCCCCAGCCAGAAGAGAGCCTGGGGCCGGGGGCTGGGCACACCGAAGATTCCACTGCACCCCTCCTACGATGAGGGAGCGGGGAAGGGGTGTAGGTGTGTGTGTGTGTGTGTGTGTGTGTGTGTNTGTGTGTGTGTGTGTGTGTGTGTGTGTGTGTGTGTGTGTGTGTGTGTGTGTGTGTGTGTCAGAGGAGCAGCCTGGAGGCCTGTATAGCTCTGAACTTTCACATCCTGCTTACCTCGGTGGCCACCCTCAGTCTCAGCATCAACCCCCATCCCCCAACACCCAACACACACCTCTCTAACAAAGATAGATGCTAGGGGGTGGTTTGACTGCAGGCAGAGAGGCACAGCCTCGGGGGCTGTCCAGATCTGTGCAGAAGGCTCTTGGGAGAAACCTAGAGTTTCAGAAACGTAATGGGAAAATGACTGCAATCTATGGAACCTCTGCTCTATGGCCTGGTTTGCATCATGGGCATTGTCCCAGCCTGCCTGGAGGGATGGGGTCAGATCCACAGATGCAGCTCTGGGGAAGAGAGGTGAGCATCTTAAGATTGTTTCCACTTCTTGACCATCTTCCTTACTCACCTACCAAGTTGGATTGTTCCTCCTGGAATCTATAATATGAGGCTCTCTGCTATTCTTCAAGATTTCCAACAAAAGAGGTGCCTTGGTTTCCCACCTCCCCAGGTTCTGGCACATCACATCCATGTTGAGCTCTTTCTTGCATCAAACCTTGGTGTGTTCCCCTTGGTGACTGAAGCTTAGGAAGCACACGCGTGTACACACACACAGGCCATTAGGAGAGGGCAGCCAGCTCTGTGCTGTTACCTCAACCCTACCCCAGGCCTTCTGGGCTCCCTGTAAACAGTACCAGCACCCATGCTCAGCTAACAGATTACTCTTTATCACCCAAGATACAGGACCATGGAGTCCCTTTTCGAAATTCCTAAGCCCTTGGCTGAAGTGCACATTCTATATGGTCAGTCAAGGAGGCAGGCTTGCCTAGTAGTAAAGAACAGGGCCTCCCAAGTCATGTGACCTGGCTTTAAATCCCAGCTCTGCCATTTATTTCTCGTGTCCTCTTTAGGAAAATTACTTCTCTCCTCTTGGCCTGAGTGTCCTCATCTATAAAATGGAGACCTCAGAGGACTGTTTGGAGGGTTAAATGAGACATTACACCTAAAACATTTAGAAGAGTACCTGACAGCGCCATATAAGCATTAGCTAGTATTCTGAACCCTTGAGGGAAGGAACAGGGAAGAGGAGGCATTTAGAACCATGAAGGTCATGGTCTCAAGGACTGGGCTTAGACTGGAATCCTACTGGAATTCTCAGAGATGCTTTTGATTCTAAATTCCAAGGGGGTGGAAGCTCTGACTTGTTACCATCATGTCCCCAACATCTAGTCTGTGCAGACAGTGTATGGCCACAGCAGACAGGTGTTGAACGAATTCATAAATTGTTGTCAGTCATCTCTCAAAGGAACCCAGGAATTGAAAGAGCAGAAGAATCTGCAGAAAACCAATGGGAGAGCTGGTTCTCTTCATTCTTGTTTGGTCCCAACGAGAACCGGGGCGGGGGGCATAGAGCAAGATTTGTTAAAAGAAGCAGTCCTAGAGTCCAGGGATGAGGAGTGGGTGCCCCAAGATTGTGTGGACTGTCACATCACTCCCAGGTGGACCTTCCCAGCGGCACCTAGCTGGGAATTTCTGGGTTCTTGGGAACCAGCGCAGAAACTTGCCTTCCCCTAAATTCATCAAATTCATTCCCACTTCTTCTTCATTCCTAGACAGGGGGTTAAAGAGAGCAGAAAGTGCTTCTGGGTCCCTATGGTATCCCAATGCCCAATAACACAGTCAGGGTTCAGTACAGCTCTGAGGAATGAATAAGTGCCCCCAAAGACTTCCCACCACTTCTCTGCCTGGTGACCATCATTCAGAACCCAATTCAAATGTCCTCTTCTCTCTGAAGCCTCCCAGCCACCCCAGCTAGGAGCTTCATCTGTTGTTCATGACCCACACTAGCTGTGGGTGCATAACACCATTGCACCCTCAGCATCCAATATAATCTCAGACACACAGGTGCTCAGTGTTTGCAAATGAACACATCAATACTCCCTCAACAACCACTTTCTTCAGTTATTCCTCTTGTTGACACATTAAAAGACACAGAAAAGGCTAAGACCACTACTTGTGTATCCATCACACACCAAAGGGACAAACACTGATGGGGTCCCTCCTTCCAGTCTTGTCCTCTGGCCTCCTCCCTTGGCCCTGGCTGGCAGGAGAACCCAAAAGCTCCCCGCCCACACTGCTTATGCCTTCCTACTGGCCCCCACCTCTATCTCTGAAGTATGAAAAACAACGACAGCCCACTGGGCTTCCAGGTCCGCAGATCAGCTTGGATAGGGCTGTGCGAACACGTAGAGCCCTCCGGGCTTTGGTGGGCTTCTCTGCCCTTCAACTACGTGCAGAACAAACAGCTTACTCAGAGAGAAAGTGAGCCAAGCTCTTGGGGAAAACCAGGAGGTGATGACAGCGCAGTGACCTCCTCAACCCACCCACCTCCGACCCCTACCTCGGTGTTCACCCTAAGTTTGGAGGCCCCTTACTCCATTATTTTGGCTTCTCCAGCCTTCAAGCCTACCTCCTTGGCAGGTGAGCCCCGCGAAGCACCGATTGTGGCCGCAGACACTCTCTCTTGCCGCCTCTGATTTCTGTCTTTGGGGAGGTGGGGGTTCGCAACATCCAGCCGCAGAGAGGGGCGTGCACCACTCCCCCAGACGCCCAAACTGAAGCAGTCTCCACCTCTGCAAGGCGCCGCATGTTTACAAAGTCTTCGCTGAGCCGCGGATCGCGAGTTTAAAGCTGGGCAGGAAGTGGGGAAGAGGGGGCGGGGGAGACAAAGGGGGCTGGATGCTCTGCTCAGCTAAGATTTGGGCCAGGACTCCTGGTGTTGCACCCCCGCCCGCAGACCCCGCCCCCCGTGCCCTAGGCGAGGGGGCGGAGGCGCGCCCCCCAGGCTCAGGTAGGCGCGACTGTGCAGGTGCGGCGCAAATAAATGTCCAGACTTCTGCCTCCAGGCGTTAGCCACTCTTCGATACGCTATCCAGGAAATAAACAACAGTAGACGATGTTTCCTGACCTTCTATTAGTACTGTACGTGACACCGTGACAGGCACTTTATATTCGCTCTTCTCTCTCCCTACTATCAATCACACCCGTTTCACAAAAGAGGAAACTGAGGCACAATGAAGTTAGGTCCTGTGCCCGTAGTCCCACAGCTGGCGCGTATTAGAATTCAAACCCATCATCTTCGTCCTGCCAGGTATGAATAAGGCACGGTTAGGTCCCCGCAGGAAGAACCCCCATCCGGAGGGTCTGGCGGGCAAGTGAACAGAAAACCACAGGCACCGTAATGCCCTGGGAGTGAGGCGGACAAGGGACAGAACCTCTTGCCCGCCTGCTCCTCCCGTCTGGCTCCGCAAATACCTGCGGGTTAATTGAGGGCAAGAAGGCAGTTGGGTGCAGTGAAAGACCTGGACTAGGTATGCTCTGGTTGCAAGTGGGGCATTGATGGGCTGCAGAGTCATCAGTACAACATAAGATTTCCCAAAATTTCCCGCTCAGGAGAATCACCTGGAGAGTTTAACAATCCATATTATCAGACCCCTCCCGCACAGTGAATCACCCAGCCAGGTGTTACTAACAGTCAAGTTTGGAGCGTTCCAGAGGTGTGTTCTTTATGAGAAACGATTTCATCTTCAAATAGGGATAAAAACCGAGGGCGCATTTCCCTGGCCAATTCCGAGGCTCACTGGGGCGGTATCAACCGGTAGCTCACTGGAAGTCACGTGAGTTGGGTCAACAGAAGCACCTCCGCCGCTAAACGCCTCTTCCCTGAGTTTCGGAAAGCCCAGAGGGGCGCACGCTGCCCCGCCTCCTCTCTCCGCCAGGCGACTACAAATCCCATCCTGCCTTGCGCTCGCGCACGTTACGCCAGAGCAAGATGGCCGACACGACGGCCACTGCTGGGGCTAGCAGCTCCGGAACGGTAAGGGCGGGAGGCGCGGGATCGAAGCCGAGAGTCTGGGCATTCTGTAACTCTTCCCTCGCCTGGGCAACAAGCTCATACCCAGACATCCAGCCCCACCAGGAGCTCCGAGTGGAGGAGGGTCTTTCAGGCCGTATATGCCCTCCCTCCTAGGGACTTGGCGGCGGCCTTCTGAGTTGCTGGATCTGTATACTGATTGGCTTGTTCCTGTTGGGGGGTTGGGAACCCGGAACACCTCCTGATTGGTCCGAAAAGCCCGTTTAAGCCTTCTTATTGGCAAGCCAAAGTTGGGAGGGATTCCCGTTTCAAAATATTTAGCTTTCCTACTTTGCTGTTATCCTTTTACCCTCCTCTCTTCAGCGTCATGTGGTGTTGTTTTAACTTTACTTAAATGGTGTGGAGATGGGAGGAACAAAAGAGAGAGATAATTTTTTTTTCTGAGAGATAGACATAAATCCCATTGTGAGTGTTTAACAAGAGAGAATTTTTTCTGGGAGATAGACATGAATTCAATCCCATCACGCGTGTTTCTTCAGCTATGTATTCTGATAATCTGCTAAAATAGAAAGTAAGAAACAGCTATTTTTGGTATTGGGATTTTAAGTTTTAAGTAAGCAGAAAGGCTGTCCTTATTTAGAGCCCCTTGGATGCTCAATTGTAACTCAGTTGCCCAAGATCTATAAGTCTAAACATAAGGGCTATCACATTTAATTAAGCACTCATAAATATTTAGCAAAAAACCTTCACTTGCCATTGACAATATGTGAATTATGTGATTGCATCGTTGTCCAGTGAATGAAAATCTCTCTTTCTGGGCTGCTGATTCACAGAGATCAGGAAGTAAACAGTCCACTAATCCTGCTGATAACTACCATCTAGCCCGGAGGCGAACCCTGCAAGTGGTTGTGAGCTCCTTGCTCACAGAAGCAGGGTTTGAGAGCGCTGAAAAGGCGTCTGTGGAAACGTTGACAGAGATGCTACAAAGCTGTAAGTACCAGGAAATAATAGGCCTTCTTCACATCAACCAAACATCTTTTCTGTGTTCTGCATTGTGATAGTGTTAGAGAGGATTTAAGAAAAAGAACATAATAAAGTGATTTACAGGCTTTAAAATCAGACAGACCTGGGTGTAAGTCATCGCTCTGCCACTTAATATCTTGGGCAAGTCGCTAAACCTCTTGAACCTTAATTTCCTCATTTGTGAAATAGGATAATAATTTGCACCTCAAGGAACTAGAAGTGTAAGTGAGGTATATACTTAAAACATTCAATGCTGGGAACATTGTAAGCTCTTGATGACTTGTAGGTGCTTTTATTGCTGTTTGTGTTCTATACACAGAGAACTTATGATTTTGTTGGAGAGTCAGGGTTAATTTCCATGCCACCACAAGACATACTGTATTTTGCCGTATATAATGCACTCCTGTGTATAATGCGCACTCACATTTTTGGCCCAAACTTTCAGGGAAAACAATCTTTCGTTTTAATTTTTTAATTCAAATTGTTATTTGTTTACATGTAGGTCCTTTTGTTTTTTGTATTATAAAGGAATTTTGTTTATTTTTTAATGTATTGTGGTAGAAGAAATATTATGTAACAAATAATTGCAAAACATAAGAAGAGATACAAGGTACAAGAAATTTTATGTACCAGTAATAAATTTATGATATTTATGCAACATATTGTAGAAGGCCAAGAACTCTTAGTGATTGCAAGTTCATCATAAGTTCAACAAAACCGATTATCATATTCCAGGGTATTATTTTGCACAGGGATATCACTATTGATTTCTAGAGTTATACTTTTAACTCATAAGCATAAATAAAAGAATTAAAAACATTTATATAGATGTGGGATTAGTACTATCCATTTTTAATGCACATCCTTATTTTTCCCTCACAAATTTGGGCAAAAAGGTACACATTATACATGGCAAAATATGGTAATCAAATGCTATGCTATGTGATACAAAGAGTAAGAGTGAATAAGTTTTATAGAATGCAGGAAATGTCTTGAGGTTTAGGAGCCTAGAATGGTCTCACATAGGCTTTTCTGCATGTACAACGTATTTCCTTATTTGGATCTTTTTTGGTGTAGAATGGGAAGAGGGATGTGGGTATTTAAAGTTTTAGGACGATCAACGCTTATGAATGGAAGTGAGAGAAAGGTTTAGGCAGAGGGAGAAGTTGAACTGTTGTGCAGGCCAAACAAAGAAGTGGCCAACTCATTGGGGAGCTCTGGGATGATAATTGCCCATCAGGTATCCCACATCAGATGGAAAAGTCTCTGCCGTTGTACTTTGGTCTTGATCAGTCACTACATTTCGGCTGCCCCAGGCAGAGCGAGATCTGGGATGAGGTGGCTCTTTGACATTTAAGTACCAAATGTTTGCCTAAAGCAGTGATCTCAAACATTTTGGTTTTATAATAGAACTCCTGTGGACTCTTAATTATTGAGAGCCCTATGGAGTTGTGTATAGATGAGCTCGCTCTATATATACACATTAGAAAATAGAACAGAAAATTTTAAAACATAAGAATGAACAAGCATGGGCCAGCCAAGTGGCTCAGTTGGTTAAGAGTTGGCTTAAGAGCGCAAGCTCTGAGCAACAGGGCCACCAGTTCGATTCCCACATGGGCCAGTAACGCTGTGCCCAAGCTGAGTTGTCGCTGAGCTGCCAACAGGTGACAGGATGACTCAGTTGGTGTAACATCAAGATTGCTTGTTCGATGGTGGGCTATGCCCACCTGCAACTAAGACTGAACTTGGACCTTGAGCTGAGCTGCCGCCCAGCTCAGTGGATAGAGCGTGCGCTCTTAACAATAAGGCTGGCTGGTTCAACTCCCGTGTGGGATGGTGGCTGTGCCCACTCGCAACTAAGATTGAACACAGCACTTTCAGCTTAGAGGCCATGAGCTGCTGATGGAAAGCCAGATGGCAACTGGCGCCCTCTACAACGAAGACTGAAGAACAACAACTTGGCTGGTCCCCTTCCCCAATTTCCCAACACTGTTCCCCTCCCCCAATTCCCCAATACAATCTTAAAAAAAAAAGAACAAGCATACAATTAATTATTCGTCAGAGCCATGATGTCATCACAGGTCACGTAGCCTCTAGAAAACTACGTGAGAGAATGAGTGAAAAAGTCAGAGAATGTCTTCATTTTGTTATGAAAACAGTTTTGACCTGTGGACTTTGGAAAGGATTTCAGGAATGTCCATGGATTCCCAGACCACACTTTGAGAATTTATCCTAAAGGAATGGACTAATAGTTCCCAACAGATAAGAATTCAGTTCTTGGTAAGATTTTGGAATTCAGAGTTTAAAGGTCGTTGGAGTTGAAGCAGTTCTTTCTCATACTGTTGGACAAGAGGCCTTTTTTCTCTCAGAAGAAATGGTTGCCACTGAAGGGGACACAGCTGAAATAGTTGTGTTGGAAAGCTATGGGTATTAGAACTAAAAGGTCTGACGATAGTGTAAAAATCTTCCACTTTAGCCAAAGGAAAATCAAGGATGGGTGGCATAAGCTGGGGGCTTGCTAAGACTTAGTCACCTCTATGTTGTCATTAGCTCTGGATATCAAAGTTTTAGGATTGTGTTAGTTATAAGCACCAGACAGAATTGTTGTGTTTATTGACTACAATCATTTTGTTTCTAGGAACCCCAATCTTAGACTTATTCTGTAAAACTTATTCACCCTTACTCAGAGCAAAATCTCCATGTTGTTTTCTACATTGCCTGTACGTATTCTTTGACATCCTAGGACCTGCTGGCATGTAAGAAAAAAGCCAATGGGTGAAGATCTTTTAACTGCCACTTGGCATATTTCTGAGATGATCTACTGGGATTCTAATTAGATGTTCCCCACAGTAAACAGATGCTGTCCACCGTTTTCACGTGTGGAGACTCCTGTTAGTAACTTGCTCAGGGGAGCATGGCGAGTTGGTGGTAGGTCTTCACTCGGACACCCTTCCCTATCAAGCACCACTTGCTTTTATCTCCTGAACCATTAGGCTCCTAGAGAATGGGTCCCTTGCCTTGTTGGACCCCTTTTACATCTGATGAATTCTCTGGACCCGTGAATTTTTGTGTGGAAAGCTGAGCACACTTTCTGTTTTCATGGAACCTTCCATCTACTTCTGAAGCCCATTCATGGAATCTAGCTTCATACTTTCCCCTTTTCCCTGAGGACTTTAGCGTGACTCTTAAAATAGAGGTTCAGCTTCAGGCAGAAGAAACAAAAACTTGCCAACCAGACAATATTACTTTTTTTTTTTGGTGGCAAGATATACATCACTTAAAATTGACCATTTAAACCATTTTTTTTTTTAAGATTTTATTGGGGAATTGGGGGAGGGGAACAGACAAGTTGCTGTCCTTTTGTTCCTCAGTCTAGTTGTGGAGGATGTCGCTTCGCTGACCCATGTTGGTATTATCATTGCACTCTTCCCAGGTGAGGCAGATCGGTCGCCGGCTACTGGATGGCGGCTCTTGGCCGCTCACACCGGCTGCCAGCCACTCATGCCGGCTGCCAGCCACTCACGGTAGCTTTACGGCAGCCCACTGCAGCCTCACTGCAGCCTACACCGTCTCCGGCGACTCACGGCAGCCCAGCTCCAAGTCGAGCTGTCGTTCACCGTCTTAGCTGTAGAGGGCGCAGCATCACTGGCCCTCATGTGGAATCCGAACTGGGGCCCTGCTGCTCAGAGCTGGCGTCCCAAGCCAGCTCCTAACCAACGCGCCCCTTGGCTGGCCCAACATTTCACTTTTTGTGTCTGACTTATTTCACTTAGCATAATGTTTTCAAGGTTCATCCATGTTGTAGCATGTATCAATACTTCATCCCTTTCTATGGCTAAATAATATTCTGTTAGATGGATACACCACATTTTGTTCATCCCTTCATCTGTTGATGGGCACTGGGTTCTACCTTTAGGCTATTGTGAATAAGCTGCTGTGAACATTGGTGTACAGGTATCTGTTTGAGTCCCTGCTTTCAATTTGTTTGGATGTATACCTTGGCATGGAATTGCTGGATCACACGGTAATTCTATGTTTAACTTTTTGGGAACTGAGAATAAGACTTTATTTGACCCTTTCCCAGACATTTCAGAAATTGGGAGGAGTGCCAAGTCTTACTGTGAGCACACCGCCAGGACCCAGCCCACGCTGTCAGATATCGTGGTCACACTTGTTGAGATGGGTGAGTACACAAGTTTCCGACTCTTCAGTGCAGTTGATTGGGAGTTGTGAGAGAGAGAGGAGTCCCTAGGAGTCAGCCACGTCTGCTGAGTGTCTTCAGATTCCCGCCTGGTTGTTTTGGTCTGCTTTTAGCTTGAGAGGGTTATCAGTAGAGGGTGCCTCTGAACCCATTGAAGAGACCTCGCTGCCTGTTGGGGGAGCAAAACACTTGATTGGGAGCTTAAGCTATTTTCGCCGCAGTATATTAATCCCCCTGCCATGTCCAGTATCCACAGTGATTTTTGTTTTCCTGTTTCTTAGGTTTCAATGTGGACACGCTCCCTGCTTATGCAAAACGGTCTCAGAGGATGGTCATCACTGCCCGTAAGTGACTTTAAACTGACGTACTCAGTAAATGCTCAGTTAATGCTTGCTGAATGAATTCATGGAATAGGGCAGGGATCCGTACGGCAGCAACTTCCTTGTTTCAGGCTCCGTTCCATTACTTGAGGCTACCTATAATATAATCTTTGTTTGGGCTGATAGGACTGAGATGTGAAGCTCAGTCACCAAAAAAGAAAACCACGATGTTGTGTGGTTATGGCACTTTAACTCCAGAAGGCCAGTCGATGCTGCTTGAAAAGTGCAAAAGCGCTTGTTCTTCCTTAGATCAAGGGTCAGTAAACTATGGTCTGTAGGCCTAATGTGGCCCACCACCTGTTTTTGTAAATAAAGCTTTATTGGGACACAGCCATGTTTACTTGTTATCGATGGTTGCTTTGTGCTATTACGGCAGAGTTGAGTAGTTACAACAGACTGTACGGCTTGCAAGAACTAAAATATTTACTCTCTGTCTCTTTACTCAAAAAGTTTGATGACCTGTGCCTTAGATAAACTCAGCACCATAATTGAGTTGGGAGGAGTAACTAGTGTGGACCTGGGGAAAATTAACTCTACTTTTTTCTCCTTCACTGTTTTCAAGCTGGCATCTTTTGAAGAACTTCCCTCTCAGAGTAGCAATAGAAGGTGCCATTTTTTTCAGTCCCCTGTTGTGGTCATTAGCCCACGCTAATTACCCTGGCGTCTTGTATGTCTTTGTCACTGGGTTGTACGAGAAGAGAGTTGGCAGCCCATCTAACTCCTTAGCTCCTCAGCATGCTCTTTTATGTAGTGAACATTGTCACAGCCATCCACTCACCTGCCTGAGAGGCATGCAGGCAGGTGGTGGTAGGTGGGAATGTCACCGAAGGTCATCCAGCAGGGCTGGGCATGTGGGGGTGACCTTCTCAGGTCCTTACGCCATTAAAGGCCTTTTCATGGTAGAAATACAAACAGCCTGTTGTTCAGAAAATTGGGGTCCAATTTATTTTGTGAAAAGGAGGGTTTGGGTTGAGACCCAAGGCTTTGGGTGGAGCAGTAACCAGTTATGACTTTGTTCCAGCTCCAGTAACCAATCAGCCGGTGACTCCCAAGGCCCTGACTGCAGGGCAGAACCGACCTCACCCACCGCACATCCCCAGCCATTTTCCTGAGTTCCCTGACCCCCACACTTACATCAAAACTCCGGTGAGTGACGAGGACATGAGTGGAGCTGTAACTGATGCAAAGCAGTCAGTTCCCACGGACTATCAGACGAGTCTGTGGGATGTTGGTAAAAGGTGGGCTCGGAACTCAGAATGTCTTTTCTCATTGAAAAACAGTGTGGCAAAGTTGAATTATGTTCTCCAGTTGGCCGACAAAAGTATAGTTAACAGTGTGGCCGGTTTGCTCGGTTGGTTGGAGCGTGGTGTTGATAACAGCAAGGTTGCCAGTTTGATCCCCGCATGGGCCACTGTGAGCTGCACCCTCCTTAAAAAAAAAAAAAAAAAA